CACACACACACACACACACACACACACACACACACACACACACACACACACACACACACAAACACTAGCTGGGCTTTCCCTCATCTTTTTCTGTTTTCTATTGTAATAATAATTGTGTGAGCTTTCTGCTGTTTCAACCCTTAAAGCTCCTTGATAGAGAATAATCATATCTGTTTAATTGTTTAACAAAAGATAATGTTGTATTTTGTCTAAAATATGTTGTCTAAATCATTTTTTTCTTATAAAAGATAAAAATGCGTCATATAGTGGATCATAATAATGACCACCCATCAACTTCAAGAACATATTGCTACATTTTTATGACCCCACATCCTCCTTCAATTGGATACGGTCATGTATTGTTCATATATTCTTGTGCAATTTTTCCAGGAACTGAAAATAACAAGATCATTTTTTCATTGACATAGATATTGTAATATAATATTATATTATAAGCAATGCATTAAGCATATATCATATATATATATATATATATACATATATATCTCTTTTTTAAACAATCACTTTCTGTCAAGGCTCCTTATAATATACAGGGATGTAATAGGCTGTTCTCTTTGCGTTTGTTACTGCTATAGGTTATGTCTATTTGTATCAGAGCGAATGGTGTGTGTACATTACAACAGGTTACTTCATTAGCATGCAAGCAGACACTTCACAGAGGTGGATTTAACTGAAGATTAAGAACATAGTCACAAAAGCTATGCTTGTTTTTCCTGCATTTTAAACACAAACGGAACATTTCATTGATTGTTCTCATGAAAATATGAGCAGTTGTAAGTGATATTTAAATTCCCTTTGACCATGTCATGACTGTTTATCGCACGCGCCGCTCTTTTAATACAGTGTACGTCATAATGCCAGTGTTCTCCTCTATTCTCAGGTTTCGCTCACCTGTACACATCATAAACCCAGGTTAGTCATTCCCACCTGCCCATTTGCTTTTACCTGTTCTAAAATGAAACCTGTGTTGTAAACCTGCCTCTCATAATCCCACAAAACTTAAGCAATTTCCTGCCAGATGAAAGGAGACTTTAAAAACACACTTCATTGGCAAATAAGCCCCCCTCCACCCTGCCATTGGAAATCTTCAAACAGCTCAGCTCAGAATGAAAACAGGCCAGTATTTGCTCTCTGGTGCTGTATTTCTGATAAATGTCACCAGTATGTTCTCATTCATCCACAATAGAGACTTGAATATGTGTGGTCGGGTGAAATAAACGTGAAAATCACACGTACGTACGCACACACACACAGGTTTGTTTTTGTGAAAAGTGGGGACATCCCATAGGCGTAATGGTTTTTATACTGTACAGACCGTATATTCTATTGCCCTACACCAACCCTACCCCTAAACCTACCCCTTACAGGAGACTTTGTGCTATTTCAGATTTTCAATACACTCCATTCTGTGTGATTTATAAGCGTTTTGAAAAGTGGGGACATGGGGTAATGTCCTGAAAAGTCACCTTCTCCTTGTAATACCTATGTCATACCTTTGTCATTATACAAATTGATGTCCTCATTTGTCACAAAAATGCGTACACACACACACACACACACACACACACACACACGCACACACACACACACACACAAACACTAGCTGGGCTTTCCCTCATCTTTTTCTGTTTTCTATTGTAATAATAATTGTGTGAGCTTTCTGCTGTTTCAACCCTTAAAGCTCCTTGATAGAGAATAATCATATCTGTTTAATTGTTTAACAAAAGATAATGTTGTATTTTGTCTAAAATATGTTGTCTAAATCATTTTTTGTCATATAGTGGATCATAATAATGACCACCCATCAACTTCAAGAACATATTGCTACATTTTTATGACCCCACATCCTCCTTCAATTGGATACGGTCATGTATTGTTCATATATTCTTGTGCAATTTTTCCAGGAACTGAAAATAACAAGATCATTTTTTCATTGACATAGATATTGTAATATAATATTATATTATAAGCAATGCATTAAGCATATATCATATATATATATATATACATATATATCTCTTTTTTAAACAATCACTTTCTGTCAAGGCTCCTTATAATATACAGGGATGTAATAGGCTGTTCTCTTTGCGTTTGTTACTGCTATAGGTTATGTCTATTTGTATCAGAGCGAATGGTGTGTGTACATTACAACAGGTTACTTCATTAGCATGCAAGCAGACACTTCACAGAGGTGGATTTAACTGAAGATTAAGAACATAGTCACAAAAGCTATGCTTGTTTTTCCTGCATTTTAAACACAAACGGAACATTTCATTGATTGTTCTCATGAAAATATGAGCAGTTGTAAGTGATATTTAAATTCCCTTTGACCATGTCATGACTGTTTATCGCACGCGCCGCTCTTTTAATACAGTGTACGTCATAATGCCAGTGTTCTCCTCTATTCTCAGGTTTCGCTCACCTGTACACATCATAAACCCAGGTTAGTCATTCCCACCTGCCCATTTGCTTTTACCTGTTCTAAAATGAAACCTGTGTTGTAAACCTGCCTCTCATAATCCCACAAAACTTAAGCAATTTCCTGCCAGATGAAAGGAGACTTTAAAAACACACTTCATTGGCAAATAAGCCCCCCTCCACCCTGCCATTGGAAATCTTCA